GTGCCCATGTGGGGTGTGAGCAATCATATTGTGTGCCCATGTGGGGTATGAGCAATCCATAAATATTGTGTGCCCATGTGGGGTGTGAGCAATAGGTGTAACATCGTGTGCCTATTTGAGGTGTGAGCGATGATTACCAATGATTGTGTTCCCATGTGGGGTGTGAGAAATCCATAAACATTGTGTGCTCATGTGGGGTGTGAGCAATGGGTGAACATCGTGTGCCCATGTGGGGTGTGAGCGATGGTTCCAATAAGTTCCTGAGTGAACTTGTGATGATTGAGTCGGTACCGCATTGCATTTGCATAGAGTCGTGAGTCGGTCTCTATGATTTGCATTTATCATCTTTATAATGGTGCATTGGTGAATGAACATATCTGTGTGTGTTTATGTGGAATGATGAGAATTATGAAAGTATGCATGATGAATATGCTTATATATATATATATATATATATATATATATATATATATATATATATATATATATATATATATATATATATATATATATATATATATATATATATATATATATATATATATATATATATATATATATATATATATATATATATATATATATATATATATATATATATATATATATATATATATATATATATATATATATATATATATATATATATATATACACACACACACACACACACATTGTGATGTATATGAGTGAATTGTGATGAATTGTGGTGAAAATGCGGAATATGTGTATGTTATGCTATATATATGATTATATGCATTGTTATTATGATAATATTTCTCACCCTTCTGCTATTTTATGATGCTCTATGAGGCATTGCATAGTAGGTTTGCTGGAGGTCTTTTTGTGAAGCGTGTTTTCATTCTTTTGGTCGGTCGGCTCTGATATGTAGCACTGGGTAGCTATGATGTTTGTGATTCTTTTGTGATACATTTGTATATGTATCTTGTTGTTAGATGTTTATGTAAACATGACTTTGTTGTTGAATCTTACTGGTTGATATATATATATATATATATATATATATATATATATATATATATATATATATATATATATATATATATATATATATATATATATATATATATATATATATATATATATATATATATATATATATATATATATATATATATATATATATATATATGTGTGTGTGTGTGTTTGATGTTATCAATGTTTAGATTTTTCACTTTTATTCTAAATATTGAGATGTGGGTGTAAGGACTAAGTTCCTCTATTGCGAAGCTACCCCACTGTTACATATCTTTTATTGAGCAGGTGTTGTATGTTTTAATTTCAAGCGTAATGTGACGCGCCTCTTTCATACCATGTTTATAATTATACTCTAATGAGAAGTTTTTAATATGTGGCTAATTGATTATGTGATTAATTGGGGGTATAGAAAGGGGGTGTTACACCTACAATGACCCTGCATCAATACACTTGTCCCGCATGCGTTTACAACACACATGCATCAGGACACTTGTCCCGCATGCGTTTACAACACACATGCATCAAGACACTTGCCCGCATGCATTTACAACATACATCCACTTGTGGAATATAAATATAAGGTCTTTACCCAACAAATTCTGCTCACACTTAAACTCTTCTACTCTCAAACCCTCAAACTCTTTAAGTCTCAAACTCCCAAATTCTTAAAACTGTAAAACTCTCAAACCCTCAAACTCTCAAACTCTCAAACTCCCAAACTCTAAAACTCTCAACATCTCAAACGACAATGTCTTTACTCACCATGGGCGACTCTCACAGAGGCACGACTGAAAACATCGCCGAGTTTGTAATTTTTTAGTTCTTATCTATGTTTACTATCTTGTCTAACGAAACGTTAATTATTTTAGTTCTTGTATAACGACACATTAATTATTTTGCAGGATGCATCAAGGTTTCAATGTTGTGTGCATGATTACATACCACACGACCCCCTCATAGCGGGGTACCTTCATCATTGTGGGTTTGGTGATTTGATCAAAATCAAATCTTTCTCTCTCGATATGAAGTTTATTCTAGCGTTGTTAGAACGTTGGAGACCAGAGACATATACATTTCACCTACCTTTTTGTGAGTGTACTGTGACTCTCCAAGATGCATACATGCTGTTCGGCCTACACATCGATGGTAAGACCGTCAACGGTAAAGTTGGTGTCCCTGACCGACTTTGCGAAGATTTATTGGGCGCCCCTCTTTGTGTGGACGCAACTCAGGCGGAAAGCGAGGGCCGTCTGAGGGGTCAGGAAATAAATCTAAAATACCTCAGGGAACAATACAACGATATTGTCTTAAGTGAGGATAGTACCAAATATGACAAAATAGTCAAAACACGGTGCTATATTATAATTTTGTTTGGTCACTTTTTATTTCCAGAGGGAACTGGAAATTATATAAATATTATGTATTTACCACTATTACAAAATATAAACAAAGTGCGCGAATATTGTTGGGGATCAACTGTCCTCGCCCATTTGTATAGCGCACTTTGCAAAAATTCCAAAAAAAAATCATGTACTTGTTATGGCTTTGCCTATCTCCTGCAAGCGTAGGGTTGGTCTAGGATGCCAACGCTTGCTCCAATAAACCGGAATCCTTTTACATTCCCGTACGCCAACAAGTAAGTTTCTTTTCAAGATTATTTAACAACCAAATTTTCTTTGTAAGTTAATAATTTATGAGATGTGTTTTAGATGCTAACTTATATGTGTTTCTTTTTTTAGGTGGTTTGTTCCAGGGATGAATTATCAGAGATGTCCCAGGTACTCTATAATTCAATACCGCAACCTCATCGACCACCTTGGGTCAGATGATGTAAGTTATTTACCTTTAATTTGTCTAACTTACATGCATAAACTTGTCTATCTCTGTCTGACTAAATGTATCCACCTTTATTGTAGTTTGTTTGGATGTCGTACGAGGGTCTCGACCACCAGCCTGACCCCAATGATGTTGCTGTGTGGACATCAAGAACACCCATAATTAGGTTCACTATGGTGGAGATGCACCAAAGTGGCCGGGTGAAACTACAATTTGGGATGCATCAGGATATTCCAGATGCTCTGGTAGAGTTGGGGCAGTGGCATCAAAAGCGGGTGGACTCACAGTGGAGTGTTAGTTATTGGAAGGAGCTTGCGAATTAGTTGTGTAAACACTGGAAGAGAAGAAGGCAGCACGTCTTGACCGACCATATTGTGCACGGGGCTAGGCCAAGTCTTCAATATATGACTTGGTTTAGGTCTGTCACGGCATCTCAGCCATTTCTGTTCGAGCCAACCTATTTGGTTGACCCAAGGGAACAGGCTTCTTCGTCCAACACACAACAACAGTCCAGTGCCCAAAATCATTCTTATCATAACCCATACATGCCAACAAATGCCCCCCATCAACCACCATACCATGACCCGTACATGTCACCCACCCAGTCCCAGCCTCAACCACCATACCATTATAGTCCTGATACGTCTTTTGAGCCTACCTCCTATATAGCCCAGACAACTCATTTGACCCTACCCTCTCCAACTATCCACTGTTTGACTACCACACCCCACAACAACCAACACACCATTTCCAACCCAACTCGATGTACCAATTCGGACAACCATACCGTCCATACTCCACTCAACCTCTCAGACCATCCTACGAAAACATGGGCATTGGGCTTAACTACAGAAGCGTCGTTGATAGTGGACCTCCCGGCTATTGGGGTCAAATGCTGCAAAATCTATCTGATACGTCGGGGCCGTCTCAATCATACCCTCCTCCACAACTTAACACATAAAGACCGGACACACCACAGCAACCTCGTCGTAGACCTCGTCGCAACGCGCATCCCCCGCAATGTGGCACCGGTGGTCACTTGGATAGAGTCGGCCATTAATTTTTTTTTGTTCAATTATAATTGTAATTTTCATTATATTGTAAATTAATATATTTTAATATTTTTTAACATTTCTATATTTTTTTAAGGTTATTTAAATTTCAATTAATTGTAAAAAAACTTAAACTATAATTTAATAACAAATATTTATTAATATATAATAAAAATATATATTAATATATTTATAAATTTAATAACAAACTTAATGTTATTACGATTTAAATATTTATTTAAATATTTATTTATATATTTGATTTTAATTATATTATTATTTTTTAAATATTTTAATAATAATTTACATAAAATATTTACATAGAATATTTATGATCTTAAACTATAATATAATTAAAATTAAAAATAAAAACATTTATTAAAAACATGGATAAAACACGAAACCTGGCAAATGAACTAAGTCGTCAATCCATTTGACGTCAATCCATTTGACGATTTACTTGGCAAATGAAATTTATCTGGCGATTGCTTGCAAGACTTAAAATTCATTTCAACACTATCACCATTTTATCCGGCAACAGAACGTTGATTCATGACCATTAAATTTTTTTTTTTAAAACATTCATTCTTATGATAATTTTTAATCAATACATAGATATTCCAAAAAAAAATTCCACATTGAGTATTAGATTTACATTTAAATTAAAATAATGATATTTTTTATAAATACTAAAGGCTCGCACGATACACGTCGCAATCATTACAAATATTATTCTTTCGTTCTTCTAAAACTGACTTTACTGGCAGGCCCTGTATAACTTGACCGAATATATGTTCATTTTTTTTATGGAGGACCGAGAAAACCCCAAATATTAAATTCATTAACAACATTATAATACTGCAAACCCACTCTAGAAAGGCACACAAGAGAAATTCATTTTTTCAAAATTGAAATGTCTCTTGACCAAAAGATAAATATTTTCATCCAAAAATATTTTTTGGTAACCTAATGGTCGAAACTTCTGTCTCTGCAATTTGATGGCTCTCAACTATTTTCATCCAAAATATTAAGAACTAGTAGTAATAAAGAAAAAAGTTCATAGTAACAGACAAAATGAAATAAAAAAATGAAAAAAAGAGAAAGTTGAATTAATCAAGGGGAGCAATTTTCGGATCGATCAAAGTGGAGAAGTTGACCATTACATTTTGGGCAGTCTTCAACTTGTTTAGGCACCATGAAATACATCAAACAGCTCTTGCATCCAGCCACTACCAGAACATTCTCTTTCTCTATTACCTCTCCTCTCTCATTCGTTGAACATTCAGATGAACATTCTTCACTATCTTCATACAAACTCTCTTCTTCTTCAACTTCTGATTCTGACTCTTGTTCTTCACAATCCCTTTCTCTTTCTACTACTCTTCTTGGATCTTCCTTTGCTTTCATCCCGTTCCTCCAGTTTAAGTAATAAATCTCCCCCGTCTGCAACATCAAATTGAAAATTTTCATTAAAGAGAAAATCCAGACAAGATCGACTATCCCCAGTAGAAAACAACAGAAACCAAGGAAAGTTGCACCTTCCCCTATAAAGAAAAAGTTAAATGAGAATATTATTATAAATATAAAAAGCTAAACACTGCTACTTTTATTTCTAGGGTTTTTTTGTCTGTTACTGTAGCTAGCGTGCTCTCAGTGCTGTTCTTATTGTTGGAATTAGAAAGAAAGCATATATTGGAATTGGATATAGTACAGGTTTAATTAATTAATTAAATCAAAAACAAAAAACAAAAAGAAGAACAAAGAACAAAAAATCCAGTTTCATCATGCAAAATTAAATTAAATAAAGAAAAGATGATAAGAACCTTTAAGTCTAAGCATTGTTCCCAATGGTAAGGGAGAGAGATGTGGGAGTTGAGCTCTAACGTGGTGTCGGAGTTGTTGTTGGAGCTATCATGATTATCTTCCGAGCTCCTGGATGAGATTCCTATGCCTCCTCCTTCTCCTGCGGCCGCTGCATCTGTCGTGGCGGAACCCTCGTTCTGTTGGTGGTGGTGGTGGTTGTTGTGGTTTAGGGAACAGTTTTGAAGAGACCTCTCTAAGGAAGCAGTGATGGCCTCCATATTTGGGGCTGCAACAACCAATTAATGAAAAAAAAACAATCATAGGAATATATATATTGGGATGCGACGAAAGGAACAAAATCAAATGAAAATAACTACTTACGCAGCAGAAAAGAGAGAGAGAGAGAGAGAAGCAATTAATACAAGTGCCAAAGAACAAGTTTGTGGGTTGAGAGAGTTTGTGAAGGGAATGAGATTTGAGATTGGGGAGAGCACTCAGAATGGAATATTTGTTATTGTTAAGATGGTACAAATAGAGACATCTATCACGCCCTTCAAATGCGCGTGCGTTACGCTCATAGTAACCGGGTGGGGTTGCAGCTGTCAGTTCCAGAGAACCTCTCTGGGTTGCATTTTGTCTCGTCTACCTTCACTGTTTCTGCCACGAATCTCACGCGCCACACTACCTAATAAATGAACTCTAAAGTTTATTCACATACAATTAAATATATTTGTACTCACCCTAAATAAATGCTATAACATTTACGTTTGCTCCTTTAATTATTCTTTTTTTAAATTGAAACAATTTTATTAAATAGGTCTTATGGCTTTTATGAATTCTCATTCTCTTGTAACGAGGATTTATTCAACAAGCTCCTGGAATCTAAATTCTGTTATTTTAAAAAGAATGTGTTTGTACCAAAGATTTCAACCCCAATATATAACAACATACCTTGACTCGGGTCTGAATTCAAATTTTTGGCCTTTTTCAAGAATATTGGCATCTCAAAATCATATATGTCATTGTTAGTGTGATTGGAAGTCCAATTTGTATGGATGATACCTCCATCAAATTTATGTTTGAAAGATCGTTTGGTCATTACGTCTGAGTTCTTGTAAACTTGAATCTTACGAGAAAACTCAGAGATAATATACTTATGGAAAGAGAAAAGTTTGCTTTTTTCGTAGACGTTACTTACGAAAGTATACTGAAATTTTGTGACAGATGCAAAATCATTGGTTATGATGTTACAAACTGCAGGAAATTAAATTTTAATATGGAACAGGACATACCTTATCAAAAGCAGGCTGCAAAAAAAGTTTATATGTCGAAGCAGTCTGAAGATAAACAAAAGGACTCTTTGGACCAGTCTTCATATAAGCTTCAGGTTGAGTCTTCTGGCTCACCAGCTGTGAAAGTCCATTCAAAGCCTCATAATCAAGTCCTAAATATCTCAACTCTAACTAATAATCAATTTGAAGTCTTAAATGCTCAAGCAGAAAAGAACCTTAATACACCTCATATTTCATATGCAACACCTCTTCCAATTCCTGGACATCTTGTTGTGTTTCAGCAAAACTCTCAAATTGATCTTACCTCATAAAAGTTGCACTTGTCTGGACATCAAAACAATCACGAGGAAACGATAAATATTGATGAAACTCGGCTTTAATGGATTTGAATATGTAGAAGCAACTTAATTAGATTAATATCAGAGGAAGAGCAGTTTCCTGATAATGTTATTAATCACATGGCATTTCTCAAACAAGCATGGGCGACATGGTTGAGGAACCTGAAATCTCTAATGATTTTCAAGTGGTCCTATCTAAACAGGCTAAGAAACAAGGAAAAGCATTGCAGAAATCTAATTTAACTGGACCCAAGACCAAAGCTAAGACAGTCTCCCTTAAAACTACTAAATGAAAATTTTCTACTAGAATGTGAGAGGGTTGGTTAATTATCCCACAAAATTAGCTATTAAAAATATGTTAAAGAAGCACAAGCATGAGCTCTGTTTTATTGTTGAACCTTGGATGTCCTTAGACAACTTCCCTACTAGATTTTTTTACTAGACTGAATTTGAAAGTTTTCTCCACCAACAATAGATCAGATCTCTCCCTAAATCTTTGGTGCTTATGTGCCCCCTTGCATTGACCCCCAAGTTGTTCTCAATGATGATCAACAAGTTTCCTTCATAATCAAGGATGGCCCTCATACTTTTGGTGTGGCTACTATATATGCCTCTACCAGCTACTTGAAAAGAAGAGAATTATGGCATATTCTTTCTTCTATCAAAATTCAATACAATAATCCTTGGAGTTTTATTCAGTACAATCATAAGGGCACATGAACATAAAGATTCATCAAATCCTTCTAGAGCTCCTATTGAAGATTTTCAACATTGGATAGATTCTAACAACCTAATCCACATTCCTACAAGAGGTGTATAATTCACTTGGACCAATGGTAGAAGAGGCTCACAACACATTGAAAGAAGACTAGATAGAGTGATTTGTGACCAAAACTGGATCAACATGTGCATCAGCTCTTCTTGCTCTACACTGGTTAGGCACAAGTCAGATCATCACCTCATCCTATTGGCCTTCAAATTCCAGAACATCAAGATTTCATCCTCTTTCAAATTCCATAAAATATGGTCTGAATACCCAGATTGTTTTAATTTCATCAAAAGTTGACGGGAGTCTCCTATTTATGGTTGTCCAGTGTTCATTCTTGGTCAAAAGCTTAAGAACCTCAAACAAAAGTTGAAGGATTGGAACAAGGAAATTTTTGGTAATGTTCATGAGGTTTTGAGAAAAGCCATTTCTAATCTAGAGGACATTCAAGCTCATATTCAAAGAGAGGGTCCTACTAATATCATGTTTGACAAAGAACATTCAACTCATTTAGAATTGGATTTGGCTCTAAAGATGGATGACATTTTTTGGCATGAAAAATCCAAAGTTAAATGGCACACTGATGGAGACAGGAACACCTCATATTTCCACAACATGACTAAGATAAAGCATTGCACCAAACTTATCAACTTTATTCAACAAAATTATGAGGTGATAAACAACGCGCATGTTAATAATATAGAGAGTTTAAGGTGTGAAAATGTTTAAAAAGTAAAAGTGCAAAAGTCTGGGGCAAGGGGGATTCGAACCCCAAACCTTGCACACAAACACATTTTCAAACCAAACACACAACCATTATGGGACAATGCCCAAGTCGTTAGTGACTTTCAATGATATAATAATATATTAAAAAGATAATTAAAATGGATTTTTCGCGCCAGCTTCCATCATCGTCTTCCCCATGAGCTTCCATCTTCTTCTTCCAATTTCAAATTCTTAACTTCTTCATTTCTCAACGAAATTGAATGAAGTAATAAAGACCAAAGTTGTTGGAAATTTAACAAGGAATTTGATGTTACAATTGAATTGCATTTATATTCAGTGGACCAAGAGTAATTAATCACACAGCCATATGAACCCTAAATGCAAATTTTGAGATGAAATTTTATATGTAACGTCTACAAAGCAATTGGGATAGGGGAAATGATCCTTACACTACTAGAAACATGTTGGTAACTCAAATAATCATGTATGATGCATGAATCATAGGGTTTAGTTTAGATCAACTTACCTTGCAAAATGAAAATCGAATTCTTTGATACAGGTGTTACAAAAGCAATCTTTTGATGCTAACAGCTTCCTTGACTTCCAAGAAATGTGTTGATGTGTTCAAATTGATCTGAAACCTCATGGAACTCTCAGCTCAAATCAAGTTGCAGATTGTGCAAATGAGATGTGGACCTGGTGATTCTGGTGTCACAGTTGATAGATAAGTGTTTGGATAACTTATGCATAATGTATATGAAGTGTTTTTATCACTGGTTTGAAGGGAAATGGCCTTGAATTGATAATTCAAGTTTTCACTCCTTTAAGACTTGAAATTTTTTGAAAGAGGAGGAATGTGAGAAAACAAGCTCTTTGCTATGTTTTGGTGTGTTTTGAATGAAGGAAATGAGTCATATTTATAGAAAAATGTTTCAGATATTTGTGAGAAATTTTGGATTAGGATACATGATATTACCTAAGGAGTAATGGCATGTACCTATTACTTGAACGCTAAGGTACATAGCCTCCCTTCTCACATGGCTACAAATACTGATCTTTTGAGCTTGATTCTATCATATTGCATCTTGATACTTGGTGTATTGATCAATCCTTGACAAATTGTGGTGGTTTTTGATCAATTCAGTACTGCACTTTAATGCTAGAAGACAAAACTTAAGTTCCTAGCTTTTTGGAATGATTCTTCACATGCAAAGGAATAGAACTTTGGAAATTTTGTTCTGATCTTGTAGAACACATGGTGTATTATGATTTTGATGCTGATCTTATGAAGAAATGAGGATTGTAAAGTGATCAAAACTCACTCCAAAAATCGTGTAGTATCATTGTGTAGCAAATCTGTCTTGAGAATTCAGTTGCAACAAGGCTCATTGTAAATTCCATAACTTCTTGCTCAAGTAAGATAATCTGATGTTCTTGGACATTTTGGAAAGTTGAGATAACATACTTCAAGTTATACATTCAAGGTTTTCATTGAATCAATATGTATCATGGATAAAAATAGCCTCAAATTTGGCTACTTTTACAAGGCAGATTTGTATGAAAAATTTCCATGTGTCCAAGTTCAAAAAGTATTGAACCTCCAACTTCATGGCTTCATATCTCTCAATCTATGCATTTTTTGAGAAATCATCCTCAAGGACAAAGTTGTAGTATGGAACAAACTCTTCAATTTGATCTTTGGAGCAAATAAAATGGTTGCTTGAGGAGGAAGTCATGTCCTTGGGAAGTATGGCAAAAATCATGAAATTTCTTAACTTAGTGAAATTTTCCAAAACCCTATTTTTGCAATTTTGATCTTTCCTTTGATTTTATTTATTGATCATGATCAAATGCATTTACCAGTCATATTTTCATGATATTTTACTTGAGGAAACCATGTTTGACCTAGAGATGCAAAAAATTAGGCTTTGACTTGACCAGATATTTCACTTTCTATCAAATGAATTCCACTTTATAATTGCCAAATGAATCAATCTTCTTGGACAATTAGGATCTTGTGAACGGTCTTTAAATATATATTTGAGGTCCTTGGATCATGTCTTGAAGCATAGAATTATCCTCAGATGAAAAAGTCAATCGTAAGCCATATTGGATCAAAACCTTAATTTTAATGTATTAAGGATCTTGAGGCTTGA